ACCCTAGTTGGGAGTGGGAGTTGAATTGTGAGGTTGGTTCTCATCAGCTCCTTTTGCATGTTTCGTAGAAGCAAATAGATTTGGGGTATGAGGTGGAAAGTTATTTGGGTGCTGAGCTTGGCCTCGTCCAAGAGGCTGGGCTTGACTTCCAGTTCAAATAGACCAACTATTAACCATGATAAGAAAAGAACAATGAAGCATTTTAGTTCGAATTCCCACAGATGGTGCCAAATGTAATTGCAACAAACCAAGCAACTCCTTCCAGTCCAAGTCTTCTCTTTGGGATGACCTGCAAAGCCCCGAAGTGGATCCTTGGGGTAAACACTCCAATGCTTAAATCAGCAATACTCTGGTCTACCTTTAATAATTATGGAAAAAGAAATTTTAGGTCAGTTTCAATTACTTTTTGAGGTGGCCCCTAGGGGTATTTATAGGCCTTAATGAGGTATTCACGTGACCTGCTTAACAAGATAATCAAAGTTTGACATGTCCATTTGGGCGATGATCTTAGAGATAGAGGATTGGGTGCAAACATGTCTATCGTAGCTGTCATGCAACCGTATGACCAAGAAGAACTGAACTTACAAGTTATTTTGATCATTAAGTGTAGCAGTACGTCCCAAGATCCTTAACCTCGAATCTATCCTTACAACTAGTATATAACAAGTTAGCATCTCCTCTATATCTAAAAATGTGCAATTTTTTTCTTTTTTGGAAATAATAGATATATAATGATATAAAATATAATGCGTTCAACAATCACTACAAGAAAAAGGATTTTTAGTGACAAAAATTTATGACAAAATTTAAAATTGTTACTATAATTCATTATAATTGTAACAAATTTTAAAATTCAATCATAGATGTACACAAATTTAATGATGATGAAAAAAATTTGTCACTAAAAAGATATTCCATCACTAAAAAAATAGCCCCAAATACATTATAAGCTTGTGTTAATAAAAACTGTCACTATAACTCATTATAATTGTAACAAATTTTAAATATTAATCACATATATGCATACGCTCAATGTTGATTAGATAAATTATAAATAACACACTCAATGTTGTAGTGCACACACTTAATGTTTATTAGATAGAGGACAACGATAGGGACACCCGCCGGTTCGACACCCGGCAGGTTACACCCTATATAATATGTTTATTTACGGTTTGCGAATAAAACCCAAACAACCCAGCTCTCAGCTATTCCCATAAAAAGTGTCTATTCTCATTACCAAACAGGCTTGAATCATGTGTCTTCGCAGAGAGAAGAGCATCGAACCTTCTGGTCCTCTCCCTCTCCCTTCACATATTAATTCTTTGCATGTAGATGCTTCGATCGAAGATAAGGAATCTATCAACCCACACATCCCTGCATCTCATCTATGCACAGTCTTCATTTTCTTCATTTCAATACAGGTTTCCATCTCATTTGAAATGGAGGTCGAGGAAGGACGATTGACATGGTTTCACCAAATCAAT